TGATGTGAGAGCGGAACGCCTTACGAGCCTCGTCGAGAAGAGTCTTGCTCGACGGCAGGAGAAGGCGCTGCTCGAGGTGGAGTTGGAGGTTCTCGGCACGAGCATTGAAGCTCTTGTCGGTTGCGGGCAGGGGCTTAGCATCGGTCTCGACGGGGAACTCCATCGGTGTTGTAAGGCCGCGCTGCAGAACAGTGTCGTAAAGCTCGGGCTTAGGAGGGGTGGCGTTCTTGGCCTTGAGGTGCTCAATGTAGCCTTCTTCGCAGCCAGGCATCAAGAACAGGACGGCCTTTCCGGGGCGACCGGCACGAGCGGTACGACCGATGCGATGAACGTGGTCGGCGGCGGCGAAAGCAGGGTCGTATTCGACGACAAGTTCGACGGAGGGCACATCGAGACCACGGGAAGCGATATCGGTGGTGATAAGGACTGTTGGGTCTTTGCAGCTGCTGTAGGACGCGAGCGTGGCCGTTCGGACGGGTTGGGGAAGGGAGCCGTGTAGCCTGTGAAGGACGATGTTGGTGTTGGCTGGTGACGTGATGTACCCGGCTGGGGCGACGGTGTTTGCTGTTCCAGAGGGATTGGCCGAGGATTTCTCATCCTCGGATTGTGGTTTGCGGAGGAGATCGAAGTGGTAGTCGACGGAGTCGGCACAAGATAAAAAGACGATGGCCTTCATTACCGAACCCTTGCGTGAGAATGTTGACTTGAGGAGCGAGATGAGAGTAACGAGTCGCAATTTGGCAGGGACGATAACGTAGTTCTGCTTCAGCTGCGCCGGCGCCTCAAACTTGACCTCTTCAGCGCCATCCTGGTCCTCTTCAGATGTCGTGACGTGTACGGCATCCTCCAAACTGATCTCGCCAAGCTTCTGGACGTTCATCTTCATGGTAGCGGAACACAGAACGGTGATACGGCGCTTCGGCAGACCAGCGAGAGAGACACCATTTGCCGTCGTGTCTGAGAGACCGCCCTCACGAATCTTGCCAACAATGGTACGCAGCTCCGCCTCGAAACCCATCTCCATCAGACGATCGCCTTCATCGAGGACCAACCATCTGACAGTACCGACATCGAGACTCTTGGTGTTGTTGAGATGGTCGCTCAGACGACCGGGTGTGGCAATGAGAATGTTGACGCCTTTCCTCAGACGGCTCTTCTCAGAGTGCTTGCTTTCACCACCGATGACGGTCGTGCTGACTAGATAAGGTGGAAGAATCTTGGCGAGGACAACATCAATCTGCCGGCAAAGTTCGCGTGTCGGCGCCAAAACGATGGCAAAGAGGCCGGAGTCTCTCTTGATCTGACCTTCGACTGATAAGATCCGTTGGAGGATGGGAAGCAGGTAAGCCAGAGTCTTTCCGGAACCTGTTTGCGCCTGCACAAACGCATCGCTGTCTTCTGTGATGAGTTGCGGGATGACCTTGGCCTGGATTGCAGTCGGGGCCTTGAGCTGAATCTTGTCCGACAGAGTCAGGGCGAGACGTCGTGAGATGCCGAGGGCATGGAAACTGGCAGCTTCGGCGGACAACGCCGCGTTTGACGGTTCTCTCACAACTTCCTCAACCTTCTCTTCGTTCGGGTCGTCAAACACAGTCTTCGGTGTCGGGTTGAATGAGAAAAGTCTTGAAGTAACCTGGCCGTCCCTCGGCCTGCCGCTGGAGATGCTGCCTGGCGGCAGCTTGCCGGTCTGGTAGGAGCTTGGCATCGGAGGGTCGGCTCTTGGTCGCTTCGCCGGACGCTCGTGAGAGCCGTCGTCATTGTCGGCTCTGTGAGACTTCCTGTTTCCGGGCGTCCATCTTTGGGTCGGCGGGGCGTCTGAAGATGGTGATGAAGGACGTTTGTCGCCGCCCTTGTTCGCAATTCTCTGCGCCTTCACTCTGTCGCGCCATCGTCCTCCCTGGATCTTGACGTGGGACTTGATGGGACCCGTCCCCAGGTCAAAGTTCATAATCATGCCATCGTCCGCCATTTTTGCTGATGAGATGCCGTCGGTCGCAGCGATGATGAAAGGTCACTGAGGCGAAGCCGAAAAATAAAATTTCAGAAGCAGAGCCTTATCGCGATCGGCGTTTAGATAATGGCTCCACTCTTGTGCGTCGCCCCGCATGACGCTTGGATCCACACCCGGTTTCCTGTCACAGTGGCGTGTGCCCGGTGCTGTGCATCGACAACACTGAACTACTACCTAGGTAGATACGCTCAATCCCATGATAAGAGGCCGGCCCTTGGGTTTGCTCATCAATAACATCGCAACAGCATCATTTCAATTCCCCTTGAATGCTGAGATTTTCCAATCCATCCAAACTCAATCTATTGCAATGACGTTCATCCGGTGGTCCGTAAGGCCGGCCTCTCTCGTCGTTAGACTTACAGGCTCACTTGTTTCCACACAATAGTTGAGAAAAAGTCATTCTCCATGTCTTCTTTAAAATCACAAAGTTGTTTACGCCTTGTTTTTTTTCCTTGCTTTTGAGGAGTATCTAAGTGAATCACTGAGCCTCCTTATCGCGCCCCGCCCTCAAAAGACATACGCAAGGTGCGCCTTCAAGGTCTCGCCCTGGTTGCAAAGCTTCTCTACCTTTTGCCCCTTCCTGCTGATTTCTTTCCCTAGTCAAATACTTGCCAATCCTTCAACGACATCGTGGACTTCTCTGCCGACGATATGGATGATGCTACGCTGCAGCTGGTTCTCCAATTGCAGCAGGCCGACCTCAAAGAGGACGACGACGAAGAGGACGACGACGAAGAAGAGGACGTTGGCCAAGCAGAGGATCAAATTGGAGAGACTGAGAACCGGCATGATGATGTAAGCGCGGAATGTCCGACCCCTCGTAGGTGGTGGGAGACTCTTATGCACGCGGGATTTGCCAGATGGCGGGGGACCATCCGAACACAGAAATGCGACATGTGTATGGATGAGCACCCGCAGACCAACCTTTACCAGACCACCTGAAACCACAAGTATTGCTCAGGCTGTCACATCAATATCTTCGAAGCTTCCATTACCGACGAGAGCCTATTCCCTCCTAAATGCTGTGGAAATGCGTTTCCTGTCACAGAGCATGTCCTCGGCAATGAGCTCGTGGAAAGATGGCGCGTGAAGGAGGCTGAGTACACGACACCCAACCGAACATACTGCCATGTCCCTGCCTGCTCTGCATTCATTCCTTCGAGCAATATCAATGGGGACGTCGGTCATTGTCCAGTATACTGGCATAGCACTTGTACTCTCTGCAAAGGCCCAGCGCACCCCAACTACGCCTGCGAGCAAGACCAGTCAACCCAAGAAGTCCTTCGTATCGCTGCCGAGAACAACTGGCAGAGATGTCCCCGCTGTCAAGCTATTATCGAGCTGAATCAAGGATGCTACCACATCAGTAAGGCAACCATCCGATCATATCCAACTCAAGATTCGCTAACAAAACCTCACTAGCCTGCCGCTGCCACAACGAGTTCTGCTATCTATGCCTCGCAGAGTGGAAGACATGCGATTGCGACCAGTGGGATGAAGAGGACCTGCTCGATGCCTATGAAGAGAACTACAACGCCGCACATGGTGGCATACAATGAAGTCCTAAAACACTGGTGTAGGATTCGTGCATTGTCTTCATTCAATCATTTGTATCACGGGTCTAGAAAAGTAAGGCTATATCTCAGAGAAATCACCAAAGTCTTCTTCAAAAGGCCAGTTCACTTCACCGGCGGAGCTTACGCATCAAGAAACATCATTATGATTGGAAGTATTCTTCATGAATTCTGCTAGCCGGGCAGTGTTAGCTGGCCATCCGGGCATTGTCCACTACATAAGCAGTATAAAATCTATCTGTCCTATATCTATGCTAAGACGACTATCCTTGCGGTTGTTATCGTTTTTGTTATCACTCTTGTTATAGCTATCGTCGTCGTCCATCGTTATTCCTATCTACCTCTACTATAGTCCTTATTAGAGTATAGGTACACTACGATATATTTAAGCGGGAGAGACACTGCCCGGCTACCAAAACTCTTCGTCATATTTTCGGGCTGTCCTTGACGAACTTCAGTGCTGTCGGCAAGTTGTGTGTTGCCCTCAAAACCGGCCGTCTTGCACCATTCCACTCAGGCCATTTGAGACCCCTGATTCCTTCGTCGAAAGGTCTCTACAAACTCTCACATGCTCAAGTAGCTGTCGCAGAACGACGGTAGCATTTCCGCCAAAATAATATTGCAACCTATTCAACATTAGTTTGTTCAGCCAAAATGTTATCGTTACCCTCATCCCTGGGCCCCGGTGAAGTTCAGACGAGGTTTATCAGGCGATTCTCACTGGCTCAGTCAGTCGTCAAGACAACTTCTTCTCCTAAGGCGTGTCTGGGTTTACCGGCCATGTACCTTGTTCAGGTATGCCTCGGCGTACTCAGGAAAGTTCCGATTTGGTCGCATCATCTGAAAGCAACCAAAGACCGAAGGTTCCTGTGGTTTGGGTTGGAGTGAATGATGCAATCGTGCCCTCGCCAGGGGTGCGCCTGGAAGCTTGCGCATCGGCTGGCTGCTATTCCCACATGTAATTCGTCCACTCCGACGCAGGAGGCCGTCTACATCTGGAAGTCAAATACCAAGCCGTCGGCAACCCAACAGAAAAGCATCGAGCTTCAGATTTCGGTCCCGGAGGACGTATTATTTTATTTCAGCTGCCCCTGCCTTCGCTTCCAACTGATCTGCACCATTGTGCCCGGCTGCATTCTTCTGAACAGGCGCAGGCTCCCCAGCTGCAACAAGTCATCTCCATCTTGCACTTAACTTCCAACTCCAATACTTCCTTGCTTAAGTGTAATTTGTCAGCATTTCTTCTTGAGACCCATGAGCTTTCCCCGGCAGTAGAGTCCTATTTCACAATTTCGATCTGAAACGACATCTCATCCGTCTCCTCTCGGGACTCGAACGGCTTTTGATGAATCCTACTCCTATCCACCTCGAACCCTCACTAATCATCTCTACTCATCTCATCTAATTGGGCCAAGATGCTTTGTCACGACATCGACGAGGAGACCCTGCACCTGGTCATCCAGATGCAGCTCGAAGATCTAGAACATATGAAGAATTGCAGAAAGGGCAAGCAGAAAGAAGGTAGTCTTCCTGACTCGGAATTCGCCTTCGAAACCTACCAGTCTGAACTCAAGACATGTGAGCAACGAGTATCGGACAGGGCCATGAGCCGGAGCATTCAAAAGGCCACCCGTACAGATGGTAAACTTGTGACAGTATTCGCTGCACAGGAGAGGCAAGCTGAGCGCGACAGAGAGATGGCACTCCGCCTTAGCCGCGGCGAGACAGTCAACCAGAACTCCTTTCAGACTTCTGCTAATTCAAAGACCACTTCCCCAGACGAAGATGTGTCCGACTTAGACGCCGACATGCTTTGCAAGCTTCAGAAGCTCTACGTTTCTGGAGACGCCGACGACGACGAGACTCTAGACCAGCCAGAGTCCTCCTCCTGGGCAGCTTCGCGAAGCGACATGGATGGCACCGCGAGGCCCGTCAAGGTAGCGAAGGAACCCTGCATCAGCTGTCAGGACAGGTTCTCCGTCACGAAATTGTCCCGCTGTCCTTGTAGCCACCTCTACTGCCATGACTGCCTCCGAAGTCTCTTTGAAGCATGCCTCGCAGACGAATCTCTTTTCCCGGCACGTTGTTGCGGTCAGCAAATTCCCGTTGACGACCATCGCCCCGTCCTCGGCTCCAAACTCGTGGGCCAGTTCCGCGCTAAGGAGGTCGAGTTCTCAACCCCGAACCGCACGTACTGCCACCAACCCACCTGTTCAACTTTCGTGCCTGTGGAGTTTATTAAAAACGATATAGCGACGTGTCCGCGATGTGTTTATAAAACATGCGCCATATGCAAAGGCGCAGACCACCAGGGTGAAGACTGTAGCCAAGACACCGCTACGCAGTTTCTGCTACAACTCGCCGCCGAGAACGGATGGCAGCGATGCTTCTCTTGCCGACGCGTTGTGGAGCTCGAGCATGGTTGCAATCATATGAGTGAGCTTCCCATCATACCTGCCTCTACCGAGCGTTCGGCTGAACCGTTCTTGAGCCTGTCACTGCGGTGCCCAGTTCTGCTATACATGCGGCCTGAAGTGGAAGACATGTGTATGCGAGCAGTGGAACGAGGAGCGACTTTACGCTCGCGCTAATGCCATCATCAACAGAAATGCTGACGCTCGGCATTTCGACGCTGAGAGGAGGGCACGGCTGGTTGAAAGGGAGGCACAGAATCTGGTCCAGAACCATGAATGCACCCATCAGGCCTGGAGATATCGCAGCGGTGTCTTCAATTGCGAGGAATGCCACGACACTCTGCCTCGATTCATTTACGAATGCGAGCGGTGTCGAATCCGTGCTTGTCGGAGGTGCCGTTTCAATCGCTTTTAACAAGAACACCTTCCTCCCAGCGTTCATCATCTAGTAAAACAGTTCGACGATAGAGCCAAACTTGTGGGGTTTAATATTGATTATTGCTCTGGAGCAAAGGGTATCAGCACTGCTGGAATTGGAAGACCAGAAGGAGAATCACAATGGGGTACACTAAGACTGCTGCAGAGGGTGACGAGGTGAAGGATAGGAAGCAAACTGACTTGGCCAAGCTGGGGACAAAAGGGACCGTCATGCACGTAGACTGAGAGAAAAACCTTGAATGCGATCACAACGATTGGAGGACAAGCCAGAAGGCGGTTTGTCGTTGGGATTTACGGAACGTCCCGTACTATAGGCGAGATCGTATGCCGTCGTCGTCGCTACCATCGTCGCCGAACTACTACTATCATTGCTTCTACCACCAGCTTTAGTAGGAGTAATTAACTACACAGGAAACATTTCCGTATAGACACAGGGAAGTTGGGCGGTCTCATGTAAATGACGCGATCTCTCTTTCAGAGAGTGCTCTCAAGATGAGACTTTGTCATTTGCTAGCTACTTAAGCTTCCAAGATGAGGTATTTGCGAATTGCTCAAGAGTCCAAGATGGACGACTGCTCTCCAACGGCCTACCCCATGCCAGTCATATTTGAATCCCCGTAATCTCATACGATGCCAGTAGTACTCTCCCTTCCTTCTATTCAGGTAAATCGGTTGAACCTGCATCTCGCACAGGACGGCAGAAGACAGTCGTCGCATCGAAAGATGAACTCGCTCAGCCTGTCATTGCACCCCTCACAAGTATGCTCACCATAAATTTTGGTCCAACGACCATCATGCTCGCATGCATGGTTCCGTATGGCATTTCGCCGGGCTCGAGTCAAAGCAGCAGCGCGCTGCTGGGGGGTCATGTTCCGGGCGTTCGGCGCTCTGTTGACTCGTTGTTCGGCGCCAGCAAAAAGCCTCGGCTCGTCCCATTGGCGACAAGTGCAGGTCTTCCAGGATGCTTCGCAGAGATAACAAAACTGTCCTCCGCAGCGGCAAGCTGAGGATCGTATGATCAGCGGGGACCTGGGATGTGCATGTATCTTCGGAATAAACTCACTCATGTGGTAGCAGCCCACGTTCAGTTCAACGATTGCCCGGCACTTGTTGCATCTTGACCACTTCTTCTCGGCAGCCAGCTTGAGAACTGCTTGTGTCGCTGTATCTTCCTTGCACACTTCGTCGTGTTTGTGCTCCATGCTCTTGCACAACACGCACGTCTTTGCTTCACATACAGGGCAGGTTGCGATGCCTTCTTCGATGCTGGTAGGAGGTCAAAATGCTGAGCACTGAGGCTGATGACAGTAGGTTCTGTTGACCGTCGAAAATTCAATCTCCTTGGCGACGAATTCCTGCGTGAGGTGCTTGGGTATGATGTGCTGTACCTGATCCGTGGGGATGGGTTTTCGGCAGCATCGGGGCGGAAAAAGACTCTCGTCTACCAGAGACAGACGGAACAGTTTTTGCAAACAAGTGGCGCAGTAAAGGTGGTTACATGAAGCGAGGTAAAAGGTGCTTGCATCATAGTCCTTGGTGCAAGAAATGCAGGATCGGGTCTCTGGCTGGTCTGGACTTCTTGATCTTGTGCGCTTCGAAGTTTCTCTGGACGCACCCCAGGAGGAAGACTCGGGCATGTCAACGATAGAATCATTGTCGGAAATGTCGGTGTTGCAGACTGTATGGACAGCATCTGCGGCGAGGATCTCCTCGGTGACGATCTCATCCGCGACGATCTCCTCGGCACTGGAGCTCTCAGCTGGCTGCGAAGTAATTGGGTTGCTTGCGTCCGGTACTGCCTGCTGCTCTGTCGGAGCTGTGATGGTTGTAACTCTTGGGTAGGTGCCTTCCCGGTGAGCGATACGTCTACTCAAGGCGCGGTCCGCGGCGAAGGTCCGGAAGGACGCAAGCTCGGCTTGGTACGTGTCGAAAGCCACGTCTGCGTCAGACCGATCGGTTTCTTTAGCTTTGCCCTTGCTTTGGTCCTGCAGTTCTCTGATGTCTTCCTGTTGCATCTGGACAATCAGCTGCAGCGTCGCTTCGTCCATGTCATCGAGAAAGGCAGACATGATGGCTTTTGGTGATGAGAAAGGTATGCCAGAAGAAGAGCTTGAAATCTTGGAAGGTTGCGTCGCTGCTTTCTGCACGACGGTCAGTTTTGCGCCAAGGCACTTGAAGGTGAAATCATTTCCAACAAGCCCTTTAAACCTGAAAGATAGGAAGGCGCCAGGATGAAGAGAGAAGGGGGAGAGAGATGGAGAGAAGCAGAGGAGCAGATAAACCCCCCGGAGATTGAAACTCACCTTTCATAGAAAAAGATTGATCGAGGTTGAAGAGGAGGAAAAGCTGGTGCGATAGTGATCGTCGAAAAGCGAAGGGAAGGTGGGTTGCAAAGGCGGCCGCGACGATGTAGAGAGAAAAGATGGAAGGAGGGAGAGAGGGGGTGATGATTGGGCGTACAGTTGAAGTGAAGTGATCTGGCCTGCAAGAGAAAATTCTACAGAGCTTCAGAAGCGTGTGGAAGGAGCATCTACTTGACACCCAGGAAGGAGCGCGTAGACTTGAATGAGTACGACAGTAGCAGAGATTACGATGGGGACGGCTACGACGACGACGACGACAGACAATACCAACGAAGGACAACAATGAACGACAGCAGACGATGACGATAGTGCTTGAACATAGAGTGCATATAAACTGATAGGAAAAGTAATTGCTCTAGCACAATAAAAATACGCAGTCTTATCTAGAAAGCCTAAATAGGTAGCAAAAAACAAAGTCTCAGCTTCAAATAGTTTCTGAACAAGGAGCAATCCACAAGTTGTTACACAGCGCTATGTCAAGAGACATATCATGAAAACAGCAAAAATGCAAAATGTAATGCGGCCAGTGTGGATTGAACACACGACCTTCAGATTAAGTGATTGAAGTTGACTTCAGTCTGACGCTCTCCCAACTGAGCTATGTCCGCCGCATTTGATTGGTGACAAGTAAGGGTCGAGGCTAGCCTATGTAGCGCATTTGTGTGGAGCACCCACAGAGACGACAGCTCACGACCACATCCCTCACCCGTTCAATCACCCAAGCTAGTTTTGCATCTTCGAAATTTCACGCTCAATTGTCGTTGCTATGTTCTAAACTTGCCGTTTTCTTTTTGAACTCCCTTCGATTGCTCATCGCCTCCCCTTCTTTCAAGAAAATCGCTTCACGAAAGCCACCCAGCATAAACCCCCAGCTCCTCCCTCCTCGCACCCTCCATCTCCCCCAAAACGCCCAACAACTTCACCCTCGCCCCCTTCTCCCGGCTCCACCCCTCCAGAAACTTCTCAACCCTCTTCCTCGTCTCCTCATCATCCCTCATCACCAGCGCCAGAGCGTCAAACCCGCCCGCGCCTGGCACCACGCCCCCCAGCACGCCCTCCACCCCGCTCACCGCGTCCAGCAGCTCCGTCTGGCTCGGCGGCTCAATCGGCACCCCGCTGCCCTCGCCCATCTTCCTAATCAGCCCCCTCACCTTGCCGACCGCCTCGCCAACCTCCTCGGTCCGTCCATCCTTCAGTACCGCCGCCAGCGCCTCATTCCGGCCCTGCAGCTCGTCCCACAGCGCCTTGCTCCCCGCCGCGTCCTCCTTGCGCCACGCGAGCACCTTCTTCACCATGCCCACCGTCTGGCTGCCGCAGTCCACGTCGCACATGCGCAGGCACAGGCCCGGCGCCAGGCTGACGCTCTTGTCGACCTCGACGTCCCACCCCTGGAACTCGTCCACCTTGCGCACCAGCGCCTCCGCGAACCCGGGCTGCCCCGGCGCGCCGAGCCCGTCGAGCAGAGACGGCGAGAAGCGGCGGTACCGGCAGCTGCCGAAGACCGCGGCCGCGACGTCGAAGCCGCTGCCGACTTTGCCCTGCGCGGCGCAGTGCGCGGCCTGCGCAAGGTTGTGCAGCGTGTGCTTGCCGGCCTCGGAGGACAGGTTGAAGAGGTTGGAGGGCAGGTGGTGCGTGAGGAGCGCGGCGGTGAGGGAGGTGACGAGCGCAGCGGAGGAGCCCAGGCCGGTCTTGTGCGCCTCGCTGAGGGTGTGGGGGTACCGCGCGAAGCGGCCCTGCTGCTGGGCGGCGGCGCCGGGGGTGGTGTCCGGGAGGGAGTAGTAGTCGTTGTCGGCGAGGATGATGAGGCGGGTGGATGTCAGGGCGTGGTTTGGGCGGCGCTTGCGGATGCTGGCGATGTAGGTGAGGGCGTAGGAGAGGGTGGTCTCGACGAAGGGGTTGGGGTTGATTTTGGAGCCGCTGGGGGATGGTGTCAGTGACTTTTCAACTCTGGACGTGTGGGATGCTGGTGAGGTTGGTTCATCGAGGCTATTATCTCACATGAGATCTCACATCTCGAAGTGAGCGATATCAGCCCCTCACCGCAACCACCGACCCCACCTCACCGACAACCATCACCACTTCACTTCAACATATCAAACGTGACGAAGCCTGATCCAAGCCGAAAGGGAAGCACGTAATGAGAAGCAACTTACACCTGCAGCTGCGTGACGGTGATCCCCCCATCCTCAGGCGCGAGATGGAACCCGTACCGCCACGTCGCGTCGAGGAACTGCGGGCTCTCGACGATAATCTCCGTCAGGTGCACGCCGGGCGACGTGTGGATCTCAGCCGCGACGACATTCACCCTCGCGCTGAGCCCGAAAACGAGGCCCGTGTACGCCCGGTCGAGGACGAGATACCCGCCCGCGAGGAGCACCTTCCCGGGCGCCGAGACGGCGGTCGCGGTCGTGTCTGCTCCGGCCGTCATTTTTTTTTCTTTTTTTTCTTTCCTTTTCTTGCGACCTTCCGTCTCTTGTTCCCCAACTGCTTACTCAAGGTAGTCGCTCGATGACCGGTTGTAGTCTGTGAACTGTAGCCTTATGTTGAAGGGCGGGCCTTCTCGTGTTACCTACTTTAACGTGAACAAAATGTCTCGGGCAAACTGAGGAACTTCGTCTTATATAAGCTAGGTATCACTTAGAGAACCCCTCTGTTCTCTACTTATTTGTGATTACCTAAGACGCGCTCAACTAGCTTACCTAAGGTATCCGTACTCTACCACAGAGACGACGGAGGACGGAGACGGACGACGGAGACGAATAACGACAGGGACAACAGAGACGAGGATAACGATGATAACGACGATAGCGACGATAAGGCAGGAGCGTCTATTGTCTTTCCCGTGCTCGCTTAAGCTGTGCTGCAACCTGCCGCTTTGCCGAGTTGCTTTTCTCAAAAGTAGATAAGAGAGAAGAGAGGGCAAGATCGCCAATTGGAACAATCTCAGCGGGAAAACCGCAGTGTGTACCTTTTTGAAACTCCGGTCTGAAGTTGCAACCAGAGGAGGTCAAAGAGGAGGGTGAGTTGATGACGCAGTCGTGATGGAACCGTAAGGCAGAAAGTTTGGGCCAGCGTTGAGGGAAAATAAAGAGGCGGACGACCTTAGGTACGCATCGTGGGGGGAAGAGACAGTGCTAAAATACAGTAGCATCCGAGTCCGCCAATTCTGCCGCCTGCGCTGCTGCTGCATGATTGGTACCTTACCATGCCTGTGTTTGCCGCGACTGTGTTTGCCCGCCCCATAAGCTCCGGCCCCCAACGCCGAGGACGGGAGTGACCCCATCCGTCCGTCCAATTGGAGCGGGCGAAACCCCGATGGATTCGTTGTCGAGCTTCTGCTGGATCAACTGAAGAATTCCAGCATGGCAGCAAACCAACACACACTATGCCTTTCTGCCAGACGTGCCTCCCCGATGCCCATAGCTGTCAGACCTGCTTCCGTCCAGGAGCTTGGGCCCGTTTCCTGTCTCTTCCGCGTGTTCTTGAAACATGCACGGCTTGCCGGACGTCAGAGCTGCCTTTGTAGGCACGGACGGAAGCGGCGGCCTCTTACTTGACAGGGGCCCGGCCTCTTCGAAACGTCAAATCACGCATTCGTCTTCACTTCGAGTAAGGATCAAGCTTTGAACAGTTTGACATAATCTTCTTGGAATGCCAATGTCTGCCGATAATATACATACAGCAGGATCACACGCCCCTTTCTGTCATGGGCATGTCGTAATCTGACCTTCGTAGATACCGTTATCCGTGTCCTCCCGTCCGTCCGACCCGTCCCTGATCCCTCTATGCTGCAGTCGTCGCGCATTCTACCCGCGCGCGCCCTTCTCTTTTTTATATGCTGAGTGGAGTAGTGTCTATCGTTTGTTGCGGGCCAATGGCCGTCATCGCTCGCTTTCCGAAAAAGCCCCTGTGAACGGGTGGCTCTGCCCCTTTGACCCTTTTGCTTCCGCAACGCCGTGGTAACCCGCCCCGAAACACGTCGGGGATGAATTCGACTCCCACACCCAAATTGAGACTCCTAAAAACCAAGCACAATGTGACATAGGAAACGAAAATGGAAAAGATGCCTCCGGCGCACTGCCGATTATCACAACCTAGCCGCCCATCCTACCCAGACACCCCGAACCCTCGGTCCACCGGCGTAAAAACACACAACGGGGTATCAAACAAAACGGTAGTTGAGGGCAATTACAAAGGAAATATGGTAATCTGAAAGGACACGCAGAGCTGCTGCTCAATGCGTGCTTCGATGAATTGACAAAAGATGGTTGCGGTCGAAGCTTAGTTTTGGGTAACAGCTTCCTCACCGCCGCCACCACCGAGAAGCTCGAGCACCTTGTTGACAACGGCGCTGGGGTAGCCGCGGCAAAGCATCTCGCCAACAACGCCCTTGGCCTTCTCGCGCTCCTCGACAGCGAGGAAGGCGCGGGTCATGGCCTCGTACGTGCTGGGTTCGCGCTTGTCGTGGACGACGGAGTCGTAAATGGACTGAGCCTTGTCGATGTTCTTCTCAGCAGCCCAGCCGTGGATCAGGGTGTTGGCGATGTACGGGGTCATCTCCACACCGCGGCGGCGCATCTGTCCGAGAATTGCCTCGGTGTCGGCAACCTTGTGGTTGGCAACCATGGCCTCGAACAGAGCCTGGAAGAGGCTGGCGTTGACAGAGACGGAGCGGTCGGCCATGACGGAGTCGAACACCTTGCGGG